TGGTATTTTTCTTTCTCTTTCTGGCTTCACTTAGAATGAGATTCTCCAGGGACATCCATGTTGCTGCAAATGGCGTTATGTTGTCGGTTTTTATGGCTGAATAGTATTCCATTGTATAAATATACCACATCTTCTTTACTCCAGTCATCTGTTGATGGACATTTAGGCTGTTTCCATGTCTTGGCTATTGTAAATAGTGCTGCTATGAACATTGGGGTGCAGGTGTCATTTTAAAGTAGGGTCCCTTCTGGATATATGCCCAGGAGCGGGATTCCTGGGTCTTACGGTAAATCTATTCCTAGTCTTTTGAGGAATCATCATACTGTTTTCCACAGTGGCTGCACCAAACTGCATTCCCACCAGCAGTGTTCGAGTGTTCCCTTTTCTCCACAGCCTCTCCAGCATTTACCATTTGTGGACTTTTGAATGATGGCCATTCTGACTGGTGTAGTTTTGATTTGCATTTCTCTGGTAATTAGTGATACTGAGCATTTTTTCATGCACCTATTGATCATTTGTATGTCTTCCTTGGAGAATTGCTTATTTAGGTCTTCTGCTCATTTTTGGATTGGGTTGTTTGTTTTTATCTCATTAAGTCATATGAGCTGCTTATATATTCTGAAGATCAAGCCTTTGTCAGTTTCATCTTTTGCAAAAATTTTCTCCCATTCTGTAGGTTGTCATTTTGTTTTATTTATGGTTTAATTTGCTGTACAGAAGCTTGTAAGTTTAATTAGGTCCCATTTGTTTATTCTTGCTTTTATTTCTATTGCTTGGATAGACTGCCCTAGGAGAACATTTTTGAGATGTACGTGAGATGTTTTGCCTATATTTTCTTCTAGGAGGTTTACTGTATCTTGTATTATGTTTAAGTCTTTGATCCATTTTGAGTTGATTTTTGTGTATGGTGTAAGGGAGTGTTCTAGCTTCACTGATTTACATTCTGTTGTCCAGCTTTCCCAACACCATTTGCTGAAGAGACTGTCTTTATTCCATTGTATATTCTTGCCTCCTTTGTCGAAGATTAGTTGACCAAAAGTTTGTGGGTTCATTTCTGGGCTCTCTATTCTGTTCCATCAGTCTTTTTTTCTGTTTTTGTACCAATACCATGCTGTCTTGATTACTTGTAGCTCTATAGTATTGTCTGAAGTCTGGGAGAGTTATTGAGAGGGGATGATTGAAAGAAGAAGAATGCGTTAAGGCTTGAAGATTTTGGGGATATCTGGGAGAAATGTAGCTGATTGATCTAGGAGACATCGAGATATTTACTAAAGAGCCTCTGAGTTTAGAATTGAGATTGAAGTATAGAATGAAGATTTGATATAAAAAGAATAGAGGAATAGATTATCTGATGCCTAGGATTATGCTTTTGAAAATATCCATGGCCATGGTACAAAATGTAGGAGGTAGGGATACTGAGTGGATCTGTATCTGAGAAGGTGGAAGAGCAGTTCGAGAGAGAGCGTTGCATTGAGAAAGCTAAGTGAGGTGAGGATTTCTACAAGAAGGAGGATGTCAACAGTATCTAAAGCAGCAGAAGGACAGAAAATGAGGCATAATTTGAAATGTATAGATTGCACTCTTTGACTTTGGAAAAATGTGTTTTTTCTTCCAAGATTAAACGTTTGTGGATATTCTATAGAGCACAGCTTCTACAATTTTATTTTGCATAGGAATCCTGTTAAAATGCAGATTCTGATTCAGTAAATTTGGGATGAGACCTAAGATTCAGCATTTCTAACAAGGGCCAGGTGATGCCAATTTTATTGGTCTGTGGACAACACTTTGGGACTTTGGTGGCTAATAAAAATAGGTCATCGCAATTCAGGACCTGTTTATTTAGAGAAGCTTTCTTTCCCTATAATAAGTAGACATTACAGTTCCACATGGGGATTTGCACTGAAGCTGAATTAGGTAGTTCTGACAGTTTGGATCCTTCTGTGTATTGAACACCAGATGAGTTTCATCCTTTTTTTTTTTTTTTTTTTTTTTTTTTTTACTGACTGTCTCTAATCTCCTCTTCCCTTTCACGTTAGGGGAAATAAAAAGCATTCCCTTGATACTTTATTTTATTAGATAGATGAGCAGATACTTCCTTTAGTAGAACCCACAGCGAGTCTCAAAATATTTATTTATTTTTTTACTTTTGTTTCTGATGCTTTTTGCCACCCATTAGCTTGAGGGAATTTCATATGACAACATTTCAGGAAAATAATACAAAATCTTCCAACCAGATGTCTGCAAATCCTTAGTTTACTGGTGTTCTCACTCCATTTATCTGCTCCCACTTGCCTCAGAGCTGTGTCTACATGTCCCTTGTGTCTATTTCACTAATAAGCTGCATTAGCTGAACCTTCTTACCTGCTTTGTTAGAGTCTGTTTGTAAATCTGAAGCTAGGGAAATGGTATTACAAGCACTGTGTGAAAAAATGCATTTCTCCTACATGGGGAGCCAGAGTCAGGTAAAAAATTAAGAAAAATAAAAGAAGTGGGAGGCATTGTGGAAAGTGTTGGGCTTGAGGTAGTGTGATACATTTGAAAATTGAAGGAGAACACAGATGCGAATAAATTTGTAGACATCGAATCAGCATGGCAGGGTATTGATTGCACATCTACAATAATTAAAAGGAAGGAAAAGGGAAGAGTTGACTGTTGAAGTTTCAAGCCCCAAAGCCTAAAGAAAATGATGATCCTGTGAACAGAAATTAAAACATGAAAGAAAGGATCTGATTAGAACTCAGAGGGGATGAAAAAAGAAAAATGGTGCGTTTCATGAGGTAATTGATTTTGAAGGTCATGGAAATGGATAAGTCTTTTGTTCAGTTGATACTGATGACAGGGAATATGATGCAGACATTAATTCTAGTTTCTAGTAGATTTTACTTGAAAATTTAGGTAAGAATCAAATGAAAGAATGCATACAAGTGTTTGAGGAAAGATGGCATATGAAAAAAACATGTCTTTAGGAGATGGGTAAGGAAGAGGGTCTGGTGAAGGAAAGAGAAGATGGACAAGAATGATAGTGGGCAAATCAAGTGAGTTTGTTAGTGTTTGTTATGAACGAGAGAGATTGAGAAAGGCAGAAGGAACAACATGAGCAAATACAAAGATATTAGAATATGGTGAGAATTTTATAAAACTCTTGTGTGCTTCAAATAACAGTTTCACAATTAAGAGGATCACAGGGCAGAAGCCAGGTTTCAAAGCATGAAAGTAGGAGGGCTTGGTACAAAAATATAGGCAAGAAGTAGAATATTTGCTCATTATCAATTAGAAAATCCACATGGGCCACGAAAGCAAATTGATTTTTGCCAAGTTGATTAACCTCTGTAGATTTTGTTGTTGTTTTTCCATTTCTATACTAGAAATTATGATACGTCTTTAAAATTGTGGAAGAAAACTCAGTGGGGTGGTTTCAGTCCCACATGTACACTGTTTGGCATCTCTCCTGCTGTTATTTGTGTTCAATTTGAAGGGTACAGAATAAAAGACTTAGTCGTGAACCTTTGGGTAGTTCTCTTATTCTTGGGTTGAAAAAGTAGACCGGGAAGTTCACAGATTTTTTTTCCACATTGTGTGATTTTAAATTTAAATTTTGAATTAGTATCTCATTTCTTTGAAACATTTTGGTTTTTATGTTTACAGTTGTTCTCTGATGTGATGGTTGCTGATGTAGTTTGGCCAGCTGTGGCCAGTTGTCTCAGTGCCTCGTGCAGTTAGGAGACAGTGCACTGTACACAAGTAAGAATATACCACATATCCAGTGTGAAAAACAAGTGCTCTGAAAAGCTGTCTAGATATGAGAATTTATTTATTCCTCTCTAGCCAGGACCTGCATTGCCCACCAGACTGAGGGTTAACTTAGGAAACATGTCACCATCTTAAGCAATCCTTCTCTTGATGAAATACCCTGTGCTGGGCAGTAAAACACCTGGATCCGCCTCAGCAGGGCTCCCCATGTCCCTTCCACCCCGATCCCAACACCTCCATGCTGTTCCTGTTTCCTTGGAGGCCTTGGAAACTGCGCGTGCACAGCAGCTGGGTTCACGTAGCCTCACAATTCACCAGAAAAGTGATTCTCCACTCAGACGTCAATCCGTGGCCATCACAGGGCCCGTGAACATGTTCCAGGTCTGCTGGGTCTTACTATATCCGTCAGCACACTAATGTCAGAACCATTAGGAAATTTAGAAATCAGTTTAAATTAAAACACAACTTCATTTTGTTTATAAATTACCCATTGCTCCTCACAACTTGGTTTAAATAATGCTTTTGGGTGTGTTTTTGACAAAGGTTTTGATTTTTAAAATCATCAAGAATTGTAATTCAAGAATGCCCAGAAATTGTCATCACTAGTTGTTCAGTTTGTTTTTGAAAAATAACTCCATGTAATCTCAATTTTTGCATAGATCTTTCTCTCCAGAAACGTCATGTATTGATCACTTCCTTAAAACCTTCTGTCTAGGACTAGAGGTCAACCAGAAATTATTAGGTAAAAACCAAATATTTTAATAATTTGGTTTTCAAAATAATATTTAGATTAAAACAGCATATTAGAAGAGTCTATTAAAGAAAATACTGATTCTCATTTCATACCCTTTTTTTCATTTTAACCTTTTTGAGAAAGAGATCTTTCTATCATGTAAGTCAAACTAGCTTTCCTGATGTTTTCATTGTCATTTACAAAGGTTGGATTTTCTATAAGATGGAATAATACTACTTAAAATAATATTAATAACATCACACAGCCATTATTTTAAAGTCATGGATGACACACTTTATTACCAGTGGTACCCTGCCTTATCTCATGGTATGTTCATAATCAAAGGTCATGGTGTATATGTTGCATTATCATAATTTTCTAATTAATTTATCCTTTATTCATGTTTATACATGTTCCAATTGCATTTCATTAACTCATAGTTTTCTTGTAAGTTTGTACTTTCTTTCCATGTTCAAAGAATCTCTTTAATTCAATTTCTCTGTTTCTCCTCATACAGTCTGGCAGCCAGATATGCAACTCAGTCTAATCACAGTGGAATTGCAACCAGTCAAAAAAAGCCTACTAGGTCAGTTAATATCTCTAATTTATTGCTTGTTAGTAATAATAAAGTAAATGCCCCGTGATATTTTGTCCTATCATTCTAAATTTTTTTTTTCAAAAAATGACCTACTTCTGGATGAAAAGTTTAGAGTACTGAATTCTTCCAAGCAAATTACCAGACATCCTTCTTGAGGATGAATGTGTTGTGTTAGATCATTACATGGGTTTGGGTTCTTCTATTTTAGGCTCGTTATATATCGTGCTGTGACTGGGCTGAAGTCTAGGTTCTAGGCTCAGAGAAAGTCAAGGGAAGAAATTAAATTTGCAGACCCCATTCTTTCCAGGTCACAAAATCCAGAAGTTATACAACAAGATTGTAATTGCTTTTTGAAATGAGCATGCATTAATGATTGCACATTTTGAAGCAGAATTGAAAAACATGGCAGATTTTTTGGGAAGTTAGCACCAGATCAGCCTAGACTGTTCTTGTATCTATAAGAGTTTAAATTGTTCCTTCTTTATGACATATGTATTTCAAAGACAGCCTATTTTAATAAATGTCGATGCATTATGTACTGTTTGGAAAATACCGGTATATAAAAATGTGTGGACAGGGTTTGATTACTTTTAAATGTTAAGTTGCTGAAGGCATGATGGTACAGCTAAGTGAGGCCACAGCAAATGTGTTTTGCACCCCTGATTATTATGTGATTAAATGTGCCATCTCACTCACAGGGGAGGTATCTCAGCGGTGGTTTGCTAGTCAGTATTGTAATAGTGAGTCATACGATGCAGTGTTTGACCACAGGGACTGCTTACGATGCCTTGACTTGAAGAATGTGCCTTTTTTCCCTTTGCCTTGGTTTTCTATGTTCATTTCCATAGTAATTAAAATGATTCTGGAGAGGCAAATTAAAAAGGTATTTAATTAAAAAATCAGAAGAAATGATACAAATTAGGATGTGCAAAGAACAGTGACCTGCCATGTTCAGTAACAATTTTTTATTACTTCTAAGACTTATGAATGTAAAATATATTTTAAGTACTTTTTGATTTAATAGAACATCGCTCTTTTTTATTTCTTCTTTCTTTTTTTTTGACTCTGTTCTCATTTCTCTTTTTATTACTTTGATGAATGATCTGGCGCTCTGGCTGACTGTCAAATTAGGCTAATGAGAAGAGCAAATGGATTTTTTAATTTGTTTTAATTTGTTCTTCTGAGAACTAAATATCACTTGGCTTCATGGGTCACAGTAAAGATTAAAATGCATTCTAATTGCTTTCTAGAAACAGGTCAAGTTTCATTGCAAGCAAGGCACATTTTGTGACAAAATTTGTTTATACATGTGAATTTGGAACGAAGTTTCTGAGTCTATAGCTGTGTCTGCAGGACTAGTTCTCAGATTTATTTTGATTGGGACATTTTGCCAAATTAATTCGCTGAGTTCTTTCTACACAGTGCAATCACTGGTACTCAAAATTCCTGGTGTCTGTGGTTATCATGCTATACTTACAAACCCTGTAGACCCATTTGAGCAAAAGTTAAATGCTGGAGTCATTTGGAAAAGATTCTGATCTTGTGGATGACATAACCTCTAATTAGCAAATTAGCTGAAGGAACTATTTACTAACCATATGTATTTAAACTCCAAAATACAGTCAACATTTTGAAACTATTAACTATTCCAAGATATCAACATTCCTGTTTTAAAGCTGGTATCTGTGTTTTCCCGATGTTCATTCCATTTTGCAATCTTTTTACTATTTTTAAAATGTCTATGGTACATAGTTAAGTCTTTGATTTCCTAGTAATCTATGGAGATGATATGTTAAGTAATATTATAAAGGTGAGTTAAAATTTGAACATTGTAACAACTGATTGTGAAATTGTGATTTCGGGCAATATAACTGTTATATTGGCTCCTTTATTTTAAAAATTTTGTAAAGGAGAACAGTGAAAAAAATCTGTTGCTACATTTATAAGTTCTGGATTGTTTTTGTTTGTTTTTCTTTTAAAATAGAAATTATTAGAGCAGTACACAATGACAGTCACATGGTGGCAGCAAATACTAGCAAAGATGCTAGCAGCCCTTCATGTCATGTCTTTAAATGTGTCTTAGAATGCCAATCTTAGTTCTTAATTTCCAGTTTTTCATTTATGTGAACTGAGCTTATTATACATACAGAATATATGCTGATGACATGAAATAAAATATAGTAATTGCATATTTTAGGCACAATTCTTGAAATAATTGATACTCGACATTTTAATGCGGAAACTGTTTAAACAGTGAAATAAATGATCCAAACTGATGTATGATTATAGGTCAAATAAAGTAACTGGAGATCATTAATGTCCTCTAATTTTATGGTAGTCTGCGTATATTTTCCCATGTTCTGTCTTTCCTACCCAAAAGGCAGCTGAAGGTGCTCTCATTGTATATACCTTTTAAAGTGTCATTTGACTAATAGAGATTTTCTTCTGAGACCTGCACCCTTTCCTGTCATGTGACCTACATGATCAGTTGGCCACACTTCATTAGAGATAACCCCCTAAAGTCTAGGTGCTTACTTTTGGCAAGAGGATGAAAGTTTTCACATGAGACAGGTCAGCTGAGTATGAGCAAACTCATGACCTTGGCCTCCACACCATGTTTTAGATTAACTGACTAGCTTAGATATTCCATAAGCATTTGCTGTTTGCAATTTGCGCTATAACTTTGTTCTTCTTCGTATTAATGTGCAAGTTAGTTTAGAATACAGCTACTTAAGAAAACAACAATGTCCCCACACGTTGAGAAGAACACCTTAACAGCAACTGAAGGCAGCTGATTAATATCCTGAGAATATAGTAAAGTAGTTTTATTTCCTTTGCTTTTCATGTCATTGTTATAGTGCCTTTAAATCAGTTTTATTCATCGGGGCTGTGATAAGCATGAGTTTTTTGGAGATTAATTTATTTCTTATTACCCTGCATTATTAATATAGTTTGGAGGCAAATTTTAATCTATGAAACAAGATTTGCTGAAGATTCTCAAGCCTTGTGTTTAGCCACTTGTCACTTAAACCACCATTTTCTGCTGAGTAGGTTTTAGAACATCATAAATTATGATTTTTCCCATTAACTCTTCCTTGCTCAGAGCCTCCCGTTCCCTATCTTTTCATAATATACAATAATGATGTAATTTTTCTTATACTATTTCAGGCTTCCAGGTCCCTCTAGGGTGCCAACTGCAGGCAGCAGCAGCAAGGTCCAGGGAGCCTCCAATTTAAATAGGAGAAGTCAGAGCTTTAACAGCATTGACAAAAACAAGCCTCCAAATTATGCAAATGGCAGTGAAAAAGGTAAGCGTTCGCCCATTACATCATTATGACACAAGCCTAGAGGATGGGTCTCGTAAATGACATGCTAAATCTAGTATTTAAGCAGTGTTACAGCACTGGGAATGGGAATGCTAGCAGTGAAATTTCTGATATTACCTACTGTCTCCTTCTGAATTCCTGCTTTCTTACAGGACCTTTCTTACCTAAAGAACATTTCAGGAAATAAAGTCATTTATATTAAAATGGTTAATTCTACCTCCAAGTATAAAATCTGTTTCTCAAAAAGAGTTCTTCCTGGATGTCTATAAATAGCATTTTCACTTGTCTTCTGATGTTTTTATGAACGCTTATCCTGAAATTATAAATCCATACTTAATTTTGTTGAATCCATAGTTTTAGTTAACATCAGTCCCATAAATGTTTTAGGCAGTTAACGGTTGGAGTGTCAAAAATTAAGACATAATTATGAAGGGTGTTTAATCTTTGAAAAGCAGCAGGATAGATAAGTATAATGACCTGAGTTTCTCCTATAAGAGACAAATTATTTATGTTTGTTTTATTTTCTTGAAAGCGTGTGTGATAGACGTATCAAATCACAACAGGAAGAAAGGACAGTTAGTGGAAGTCTGTTAAAGCTGTATTCACTCTATGATGCGCAGTTCTCTGTAATGTGCACAGTGTGTATTTAAAGAGGTGCTGGCTTGAGACATCCCTGTGGAGTCTGCCTACAAGTGGGAGGTGGTGCAGTTTACATCGAAACCATGAGAATATCAAGAACCTATCTTGTTGAGAGCAGTGTGACTGAGTGAGGGGCTCTGGCATTCTGACAGATTGTGATGGAGTGTTTTCAAATCATTAAAACTTCTCTTCATAGTATTTAAGTCTCCATGAAACAAGGCATGAAATTCAAAAGTGACAAATAGACTTAGTTAGTTGAACAGCTGGAAAATTTGGTTCCACTGATTCAACCAGGTAGAAACTTCTTTGCTCCTATTAGGTCATTTCAGATTGTTTCATAGAAATGATCTGATGAGACTTCTCTTACTCAGACATGAATTGACAGGGGTGATTTATGAATTAGACACTTTTACGGAAATGCCCTACTCATTAAAACAAAACTGGACAGGCTGCAAATCCCTGGTCAGCAAAGCAGTGTATCTTGATTCCTGTAATAGCTCCAGTTCTTGAGTTGAATGGGAAAAGAAGAAAATAGTATATATTTGGAAGTTAGGATTTTTGCTTTAAAATAAAGTATAAAACCTTTGATTTGAGAAACTAAGAAACATCACTGAAGACTTATACTTCTCTTGAAGCGAGGTAGGGGACTACAGTTTCTCATCGGAAGAACATCTCCCTTATTTTGTAACTTTCCTAGAAAGTATCATACAAGGCCTGTATGTGCCGTGAAATTCTAAGGGCAACTAGGTGTGTTTAGACAGAGATTTACCGAGTGGACTGCTCAGGGTTCCAATTTGGCTACGTGATACTACATTATACAATATTTTTGCAAGAAATGACTAATAACATTAGGAAAGAGACCTAGAAGTGCTCTAGATGCCCTAACACTTTGATATCATAATGTGTTTTTCTGCCACATCAGATGCTTTTCTACATATCTGGTGTGTAGAAGAAAAAAATCCAAAGGTAACCAAGTATTCATATTTTTCCACAGCCATTCAGCCTCTCTTAGGTCTGTCTAGGATGCAATGCAAAATTAGAAAGTAGCAATCTTTACAGTAACCACAAGGTGGAGACAGATGACAAGCATTGTGAGGCTTTTGACCATAATAAGCATAGCTCCTTAGGTGCCTGTAGACCGCAAAAGACAAGAGCTTTCATGGTGAATTAGCCATTACTTTTAATTCCAACTAAGTAAAATTCCAAAACATTTAAAGTGTATGATCTCCCATTCACAAATATTTCTGATACATCGAATGTAGGCCTTAAATACCTGTAAACTGCCGATACTAATTAAAGCATGGATGGCATTACAGGATATAATACAGCCAGCCATCTGTAGTTTGTTTTACACACTATATGGCATTTTCTGTTAACATGGAATTAGAACTTCATGTCAGTAATCCAGTATCACTGCTTCTAAGTTAATCGTTGTGTCATGCTAGTTTCTATTTCCAAAATATTAAATTACAAGAACAAACAAAATAAAAATAAATGTTACATACGAAACAATTTATAATTTATCCTTTAGGCTCTTCCAGTGGTATTTTTTTTTTGGATGAGCATGTTTTGTTTAACCTTTTTGACATGGAGATTTGTACTGGTAACATAAAATATGAAAATATAAGATTCCATATGCTGACAGGTCGATCTCTGTGACAAACTAGTTTATACATATATCCTGGGCGTGACCAAGTAAGGTGAAAATTAAACAAGAAATTTCAAAGATTGCAGTAGTATAATGACATAATTCAGAAGATATTAACTTGAGTATTCTAATTGCCATTCCTTTTTAGTTAATAGAAATTATAACATTTAAATTTAATAAATTATTCTTACTTGAAAAATTAACCAAACTATCTGTAAATGTGCTCCCTGAATGCTTCTAAGTGAAAATGTACTTCCCACTTTTTTTATAACAAGTCTCAGATGATGAGTTTTATGACTCAGTTGAGGAATCTTGAGAATTTGTAATAGATAGTAAATGTTTATTCACACTGAAAATAATTTCACTTCCTTCTTAAAAAACATACTGTTGAAAGCCCAGTAGCGTTTCGCATGTATGGGGTTGTAAAAAGAGCTTATTTGCAAATTGTGTGACTTACCTAATGAAAGAAAATCAATAGAGAATCACAAATTGCACTTCAAATGCGTCTAATACCATTTTTTTTGAATAATGCCATTGAAAAAATAGTTTGCTCATCTTACCGAATGAATTAAAATGTCAGTGAACATGGCCACAGATTAATTATCACTTGCAGAGAAGGCTGAAATAGAAATGTTAAAATGGAAAGTAATACCATCCTGCCAGTCTGTCGGAAAGCGGGAACAAATTTCTCAGAACAAATGGTGAAATGAAGATACCATTGTTTGCAGGGAAGCATTTCTTGTGCAAGTCCGAGTTTCTTCTCTCGGTGACCTGCCACTCAGAAACTGACTATGAAAAATATGCTCTGACACCAGCATTTGTCAACTGGCCCATGCAGCCTAGGTGATTACTCTAGACAGGGATACGCTTTAAAGAAAAACCAAATATCTGTTCACTGGAAATCAAGGATCTTTAAAAAAAAAATACCCTGGTTCATTTGAACATACATTTTACATGCCTGAAGCAAATTAAATTAAGAAATAATTCTTGTTTTATAAAACGTAGGTGATAAATATGAAAAAGGCTGAACAGTTTAGTATTACTTGGATTGTAAATATCTCTAGCTTTATTTGGAATTCAGTTTCTGAATTATGATCTGTAAACACTAATTCCTTGACAGAGTTTGTTGTGAAAGGGATGTTTTTCTGTGTTGCTAAGAAACATGCCACAGTACCAGCAGGCCTGCTACCGTCTTTTTAATTGTCTCTCCCATGTGTTTCTTACCTTGTACCTGTTCATCTACTGAAGAGGAGACTCCTCTTCTGTCCTCCTGAATTCTAACAAAGTATCTTCTGTTGTGGAAGCACTTTCTTTGATTTACTCTCAACACAGATTTAGTAGGATTGATACGGAGAATTTGGCAACATTGAAGTTGAACTTTTTAAAACTGTAGGTTTCATGTGAATGTTGCATTAGTCATGGAATTTGACCGTTAAAACATAGTTATATAGTTCTCACATACTTTTTTTTTAATTACCCTAAAATTGCTATAAGATCAGAACTGAACTGTTTTATTTTCTTTTCAAGGCAATGCACATATGTTTTATTTATTGTATTCCTTTTCTCAGGTTTTAATTATGTGTTCCACCGTGACTTTTTGCTTTATTTCCTTAATATTTACACAAATATACAATATAATGTTAACATGATAATTTCAGGTTAATCTTAGGAATTTTCATGAGGCAACATAATTAGGTACATAAATCAAGGGATCTGAATAAACAAACTTGGGCATGTATGTTGTTTATGTATGTGTGCATGCCTGCACACTGAGGTGTATGCATATTATACATGCCTGTACATGCATTACATACTTTAAAAAAAACTGGCTGGTAAATTGAAGCCTCCCTGCATTTTGCAATACTCCACAAAGCTGCACTTTCCCATTACAAATGGTACAGTATGTGCATGTGCAGGATAGACAGTTCCTCTAGGGTCCCTGTGATGCTATCCCATGTTTTCCCTGAGTCATCATAAAATGGATGATTGCAAACCATCGTTTATGGAAGACAGTGTGCTGAGGTGACTAGGGGCCAGTGGGTAGCAAGACATCTTTAAATTTGAATGCTACTTTTTTTTTAACTTTCAAAATATTCAACGTATTTTGGTATATCATTGCACAATGAGAGTCTAAGTTAATTATTCACCACACTCACTGCCACGGTCACGTTGATTCATCAGTCCCTTCCTTCCATAATGATCTGTGATGCTGAAGCTGTCCCATATTTAGCAGGGACCATGTATGTCACTGAGCACAGTGTCTGCTATGCAGTGACTACTTTGGAAAGAGTGATGCTGGTGTCATCTTGGTTGTTGTTGTTACTTTGTGTATTTTCTGTTGCTTCATGAGTGAAAGCTGGTTTGCTCTAAGCAGCACATAACTCAGTGAAGGAGAGAGAAATGACTGAGGTGTCCCTTGCTCCTTTCACAGACTGGTAGCACTGCTGGCCACATGGCGCTAAGCTCTTGAAGCCATCATCTTTCTCTAAACTTCCCATATGCCTGTTGTGACTGCCACATTTACCTCCATGTATTAATTTTAGAACTAGACTGGCATCTTTCCCAGGTCATCCAAGTTATCTTTTTTTTTTTTTTGGAAAATGAAATAACTAAAACTTAAGTCTGCAAAATGTAGATGTTTTCTAATCAGGAATTAAAATGTATTCTTACATCACCTCAGAAGCATGGTGCCAAG